ATATTTCTTAAATATATTTTTGCACTGAAGATCTGAGAGCAGATTGAAACGTCTGAATAAAAAACTAAGCTAGAGACAACTATATATATGTTTTAATTTCAATGGAGTATTCAATTGCTTCCAACTTAGACCTGTGATTCAAACAAAAAACGTCAAAAGACAACAATTCTTGTGTAATATGCTGAAAATTGAGCTCTAATTCGCTTTTAGTCAATTTTATTATATTTATACATGTAGATTCTGTTTAATAGTTTCGTTTAACTGACTTACTTTCCCGTTTTTTCCTTATTACAACTGACTTCCATGTTCGTAGTGCTTCAATTGATGCAGTAGGATCATCATAGTCAATAGTTTCTATTATTTCTAGCTTTTGTTCATATCTGTTTCACCAGGTTAAGATGTTAAATTCATCAGAGGAATATATCTCTATAATTAAAGGGTGCATTTAGTCCTCGAAGTTTTGTCCACACATTTGCTTTAGACTTCATCTCTCCTACATCCACTCCTATTTCCCATTGTTTGAAAATTTTAATCTTGGAAAGAAAATACCAGTGATGATATACCTGAACATGTTGCAAATCAAAATTTCACAAATTATTCCAGAGAAACTAAAATATACTACCCATGTTTATTGTTTAATTGAATATATTATATTCGTTTTATCATATTTCCCATTTTATTATATCATACCAGGTGTAATATACCTGGCCCTGTTCTAGATCAAAACTTCACAAATCATTGCAGTGTAGCTGAAATATACTGCTTATTTAATATTATAAATACTTTATCATTTTTATCCTTTATGTGAATACAGCATAGATATAACTGTCCAACAGAGTACTATTGACTTTTATGAGCCYCATTCCCAAGAAATCATCCCAAATGTACTTTTATAACAAACATCATGTAAACAAGATAAATCCAAATTTGATGTAAACAAGGATACAATTCACAATAATCTTTCTCGATATCTGTCAGCCATTCCAACAATTCTGTAATTGATGGCCAAGTAGGAGACCCTTCAACTGTTTGATCAAGGGATAAATTTCCTGAAAACAAAAATAAAATGAATTTGAAATTTTCAAAGCTAAAGTATTGTAAGCAGATCAAGCCATTGCCATTCCCAAACCAATGACATGGGCTACCTGTGTAGAAAGATGTGCAGTCTAGTGGTTGCCAGAACTGTTATATTGGAATATCAAATGGTTTGGTACTCAAAAACTGAGATACCAGTTTTTTTTTAAATCCTGCTTTTCTGTTAGGTATCAATTGGAGATCCAAAACGGTACAATAGAAATATATTAAAAGGATATATTTATGGCTGCAGAAAACAAAATTTCTTTCAAATTGATACTGCTTAAACTGTTTTTCAGAATGAGTCCTATTCAGATCTTATTTCCTATTTTATTCATTTATATCATAATTTATATTTTTTATTTCTGAACCCCAAATAGTGGGGTGTCCAGCCACCCTTATCACCCCCCTAGGATCCACCCTTAGTACTGCAATATTGAGATCCCCCCACCCCACCCCCATGATTTACATCATGCCTGTGTTTCAAATTCAATAGTTTGATGATTGATCACCTTGCACAGCATGTTGCTTGTATACTTCAAATGAACTTCTCCTGTATTCTGAAATCCTCTTSTTGACATCCTTTATAACATTCCTGTCAACATAACAGTTACTTATATTACTTTAATTTAATAGTATGTGAAAGAATAAAAATTTTCAATCAAGTATTACTAGATGAGTACCTTAAATATGAATAGGCAGACCAGTTTATAATTAAATTTTGTTTATTTATTACTCACAATTCAGCATGCAGTTTCAWCATGACGTTTTCCATYGCTTTCAYGATTTTGTATTTCAATTTTCCCTCCAGATTTTCAAACTCAGCAAGCGGTTCTTTGCTGAATGAAACCTTCTCACAAGCATCCAGCTGCTCAAGTAAGTTTGCCAAAGAGTTTGTGTATGTGAGAGAGTTAGAATGAGATTCCTCAACCCTGTTCCTCTGCTCTTCGAGAGACTGGTAAACTTTTCGTAGTTTCTTGTAACATAAGCTTTGACCATCCATTACAAGACATTCACACAGTAGTATGATCTAACGCCTGTCCTAGTGCTCATTTGTATATGACAAATATACTGGAAACAGTCACAAATTCGAAGGAAATTCTTCTTTTAAAAGTTGATATTCGTCCGCCATCTTGAAATTTACAACACAGGGAACCCGCGGACATTATTGGTTTGGACACAGGGATCCCAAGCAGTGACTTTGAATTTTACTTATATTTTATTTAGCCTTATTAAGCATTATAAATGGTTCTTTGATACTTTTTCCTCTCCCTTTATATAGAGTTTTAAAATCATCTACATATATAGGAAGAAAGTTTTTAAAGCGCATTCATAATTGCTTAATAAGCCGAAATAAATGAAAGTAAAAAGTTTGTGAGAAGTAACATTTTATTTCAAATAACTGTTTTTATTTCTAAGTATTGTTTGGGCTTCCTACGAATTGCATAGGTATGGTTACGAATACATCAAAACGAGGCTCATGCCTTTTCTTCTGAACTATATCTAGAATGTGGGAGTTTGAGTCATCTTTCTTTTGTCATTAATGCATTCCATATATGTAAATTCTGCCAAGGAAATTCTCTYATGACCAAAACATTTTTAGCTGTGCAGCCAAAATCAAAATTGTTTCAAACATTCTAAACATATTTTTTGGCAGGTATGGAAAACTGGGATTTCTGTGCTATATTGTTACAGATTGTATAACTACACCTACAAGCCATCTTTGCAAAGCTGTAATGTTTATGATGTATTAAGGCAACCTTTGAATGTGGAATAATAGTGTTTAAGAGCAAGAGTCTGTAAAAATCGCCTAGACCTCGGAAATCTTCGAAAAAATCAAATCGCTCAAAATTCCGCAGTTTGTAGCTACACATGACCTCTCACTAATGGTGTATTTTTTAGCTCGATTGCATTATTATTTTTCGAGAAATATTTT